CATAATTTAAATATTTTTAGATTAAAATGTTCATAAAAATAAATTAGGATAATCTACATAAATTTTATTTTCAAAAAAGTTACCAAAAAAAAAGTTAGGCTAAAATCATTATTTAATAATCTTGGACTAAAAGTTTTTCGAAGGGTTAGATGAGAAAAACAGTTTCTAAGTTATGACCTAAAATTTTAATCTTTATCCCTAAAAGTTGAAGATGGTTAAAAACGAACTCTTTTATTGGTATTTAGAAAGATTCATTACAACTCATTATGCACCTGCATGCTTCGGGGAAAGAAAAAAAATTTAGAAGCAGCACTCTGCCATGCTTCCGCTTTTTTAGTGGGTCTCTACAATTTAAAAAAAAAAAAAAAAAAACCAGCTTTCTTTTGCTCTACCAACCACCTTCGAACTGCTTTCTTTTTAAGTCATTGCAACACCAAACCAGGACTTCATCTACTACAAGCCTGCTCATTTATGTTTCTCACATGGCGCCTTAAGTTGGCACTGTATCGACTGAAAATATTATACGTTTCCAGATTCCACAAAGAAGTGTGAGAACTACGTTGTCATTTGAAAAGGACTTCTTCCTACCATGTCAGGCTGTCAGATAGCCTCTTAACAAAAATTAAAGTACAAAAAAATCCCCTCAAATATTTCTTCCCATGGATTTGTTTTCTGAGAAAATACAAGCTCAATAACGTTTGAAGATATTTCGGTCTAGAGTATGTAGAAGCCGCAACAATCAGCCAAGGGGTCATGAACTTCTAATATATATGTTGAAAAAGCAATCTCTTCCTGCATGCAATCTAAATTATTTATTCATAGTTGTATAAAGAATCACATATGCGTAATTACAATGTGCCCAACAGCCAGCCCTTTTTTCTTCATTATTTTGTAAATCAAATAGTAGTAGTCGCATATTTATAAGCAGCAGTATTGTTTTCATAGAATCTATTGTCCAAAGAAAAAGTAGTAGTCCACCGTTCGAAGAAAAAACAGGTAAATGGTTAATAAGAATACGCAAAACACAACTCCACAAATGAAGGAGAGAAAAACTTGCATGATTCCGATGTATATGCAGATTCACATGATGTGAGATAAAAATACAACCAAAATGCATACTTGCTACAATTGTATTTTTGGTGATTAATTTCACAAAGAAAAGTATATTATGGTGCATGCATAATTTTTCATATTCATATTGGGATTACCAAATAGTGAGAGTGTGCATTGTGATAGGTAAGAATAGATTATGTTCATGATTCGAAACTCTCTGATGTAACTAAAAATAAAAATAGCTCATTTATTTCCATGGCCTCAACAAACAAAACAATTAATATTTACATATCATGAACCTCCAAAATCTAGCCCTCAGCTTTTCACAACTTAAACTCTATATAAAGGTACAACTCTTGGAACTGATCAGAAGCCATAACCATTCATGCCAACCTGGCCTCAACGAAGAGAACTTAACCTAGAGGGCAATATGTCAGGTACAACTCCCAGCTGCAAGGTCCTTGCTGCTGTCGCTCTGATAGTGGCAATGGCGGCAATTGCACCTCAGGCCGAGGCAGCTCGTGCTTTCTTTGTGTTTGGGGACTCACTCGTCGACAGTGGCAACAACAACTACTTAGCGACCACTGCACGTGCCGACTCTCCTCCCTACGGCATTGATTTTCCGACCCACCGCCCCACCGGCCGCTTCTCCAACGGCTTAAACCTCCCCGACATTATCAGTACTATGATCACCATCGATCTAGCTGGCTAGTTTAATTTAATTACATTTCCCCCATTTCTCTTTCATATAGTAACACATGAATCATGTGACATGTGTAATACATAGGTGAGCAAATTGGATCTGAACGCGTGTTGCCCTATTTGAGTAGTGAGCTCATAGGAGAAAAGCTGCTTATTGGAGCCAACTTTGCTTCTGCAGGAATTGGAATCCTCAACGATACCGGGGTTCAATTTGTAAGTCTCTACACATGAACAGTACACACATTTTCTAATTAGTACTTTTTTGTAGCAAGTTTTATTTTCTAAAAAGAGGAAATTAGTTATAGCTTATGCTCAAGCTAGCTAGCTCTACTTTATCGGTTAATTAAGTGAGAAATTATGTGAAACCAAAAATAATAATAATGAAAATCAATAAAAATTACAAATTTTTTATGTCAAACATTATCTCTTCTAGCCATCAAATGTGTGACGGTTCATCTTTTCATCAGAGTATAAAACGATAATTACCATAAATTTGTAATGTATGTCATGCAATATGCAAGTCCAGCGCCCCTGCGTATGGTATAAGGACAACAAGTTGAGTCTTTCGACAATTGGAGAAATTTTTAGTTGTGACGGGAACACGGATGGTACACCATGTGTTTTTATGCAAGTGATGGAAAAGTTTAATTTTTAAGCTATTAACCTTTTAACACACATAACCCACCATTTATATAGGAACACGTGGTGTACCATCTCGTGTGACGGTCATACTGGAAAATCTCTCCAACAATTGAGACTTTTCATACTTCATTATCCTTATTATTGTTGCCCATATTTATCTTCTGCTTTTACCAAAAAAAAAATTATTTGACTTTTTCTAGGAATTACTCGAAATGTTAGTGAGAGTTTTATTAAATGACAAGTATAATTGTTAATTAATTAATTAATCTGTAAGGTTAATTGTGTTTGTGTTCTTTTTATTTACTGCAGATTACCATAATAAGGATCTCCAGGCAGTTTGAATATTTCCAACAATACCAGCAACGGCTGACTGCACTTGTTGGAGCCGAGCAGGCAACACGGCTGGTGAACAATGCACTTGTGCTCATAACGCTTGGTGGCAATGACTTCGTCAACAACTATTTCCTCCAACCTTTCTCTTTACGATCACGGCAATACTCCGTCCCCGATTTTTCCCGTTACCTCATCTCCGAGTACCGAAAAATTCTCCTGGTAATGTACTTATGGTTAAAACGCGTTTTTAGTCCCTATAAATTTCACGAAGTTCCATTTCCGTTCCTATTTTTTTAAATGTACCGAACTTGGTTCTTGTAGTTTGTAAGGGAAGTGATTTGCCGACTCTCTTTTCTCCACATGCACTCTTTATTTTTTTTAGCCATAACAAATCAAAAGAGAGGTGAAGTGCACAAGAAGAAACGAGAGTATGAAAATGGACTAATCTTGTAAATCGTTTCAAACTAAGTATATATGTCACTTTTGTTGATTATTTGTATGAAATTTGTCAAATTTACTCTCTCATGTGGTGTGCATTTGACAATTATGTAAGAGAAATTAACGGAAGTTGGCAGAATTGGTTTATCATTCCACGCAAAATTTGTCACATTATTTATTGAGGAAATTGTTCTACACAAGAACTTAAAAAAATTATTGTGTGGTAATGGAATGTTATCATATACTATCATTACTTACTAATCATATGTTATAACATGAACAAATTGATTACACCACATGATTTTTTTTTGTTACAATGTTCTAAATTACATACAGAGATTATACGAATTAGGAGCCCGGAGGGTATTGGTGACTGGCACAGGCCCATTGGGCTGTGTTCCATCTGAGCTAGCCCAAAGGAGTCAAAATGGTGAGTGCAACCCAGAACTACAAAATGCAGGAGCAATCTTCAACCCACAACTCAACCAGATGGCTCAAGGACTCAACAAGCAGCTCGGTTCAGATATTTTTATCACTGCTAATGCATTTGATATGCACACGGACTTCCTCTCCAACCCCCAAAAATTTGGTTTGTCCCCAAAACCCTCAAAAACCCTTTGTTTGATGGCTCAATCTGAACTCAACCGTGCAATTATATTCAGACTAATGTCTCGATTGTTGCTCAATGAACTTATAAATGTTGATAAGGACTTGTTAAATCAGAGGATAGTTCAACATATAGTGTCCTTCAAGTTAGTTTCATCTAAAGTATAACTTACCCAAAATTGACTTGGACTCAATTCCAATCTTGTCTAGTCCCGGCCACCAAACGGAGTGTTTAGAGTCCTTTAATCAATATTTGGTTAGCCTATGAAAGTAATGTATTTGATTTATCTTCGACAGGTTTTGTGACATCAAAAGTGGCATGTTGTGGGCAAGGACCCTATAATGGGTTGGGACAGTGCAATCCATTGTCAAACCTGTGCCCAAACAGGGATCTCTATGCTTTCTGGGATGCTTTCCATCCAACTGAGAAAGCAACCAGGCTAATTGTGCAGCAGATTATGTCCGGGTCTAGCAAGTACATGAACCCAATGAACCTAAGCACCATAATGGCCTTGGATTCCATGACCTAATTAGTAGTAATTCACAAATTAATTAACCTCCTATAGTGGTTAATTACCTGCTTGTATTATGCTATTTTGTAATGATTATGTAGTGTTCTTATATGTTCTGGCTTTGCCAATAATTGACATGGGAACATAAGATGTAAGAGCTTAATTAATTACATTGTTTATGCAAATTGTCTCATAGCTTGCCATACAATTCGACTGCATTATATTTGCTCGTCTTATGTTAATATCCGTCAAGTGCTACTTCTCTTCTCAATGTTATCGAAAGAAATCTCAAGTTTTAATTTTTCCTCTTCTGTTGGTCGACAAACGTATGTATCTTCTTCTTTTTTTGAACAAATAAGATAATTACAGTATATTCATCTAAATTACGGAAAGAGAGATCCGAATTTAAGAGCGAATAAAACACCCCACACTACCCCAATTTTATTGTCGGAATCAAAAACACCATTCCAACTTCCACCCCTATGTGCGAGTGAACAAAGCTCCTAATAAGCGAGTTCAAATTTTCTATGTTCATTTTATGTGTGACCTCTTTATTGCCTTTATCATTAATTAAAACGTGTCTATAAACTTAACTCTTTAATTCTCTCAAAAACCTAACACGTGTTGATTAATAATAGATGACATAAATAAGTGCAGAAGATTTGATTTAAAGGTTAATAACGGCCCAACGCTGTCACAGCCCAATAAATCTCCTCCGCCAGCTTTCCAAACCAAACGACGTCGTTAACGTCCCCTTCAACTTGCAGCTCATGGTTTTGACTTATTTCTCCGTCTCCGACCAACCCCAGCCATCTTCTTCGTCTTCTACTTCCCGCTCTCAGCTTCTGGAGGCTTCCCGGTGAGTCCAATTAATCTACAATTCCAGTTAATTCACAAAAATAATTAAAATTCGATTATCTTGAAAAAAATTATTTACTTTTTAACGGAGTCGCAGATTCAGATTGGTTATTCTGAAGCATGAGTGAAGGTGAAATTCCATCGCTGCTCTCCTTGTGCGTAGACGCAGTAAAAAATGAACTGGTTCGCGGTAATTTTTTGAAGCTTAATAAGATTCACATGATTTTCATAAACCCTGCATTTACTTAAAAAAAGGGTTATTTTTTCGGTTTTGTAGGCGATGATCTTTTACCGATTGTCAAGGAGCTTCCACGGGACCTGCTCGATGCTCTCGCTTCCCGGTTGCCTCCGTTGGGGTTGGAAAAGCTACAGACCGCAACGTAAGTCGAAAACTAATCTAAGGGTGTTAGAAATTTTGAATTTTTTGATGATTTGGTTTTCAAAATTCTGATTATGTTTGGATTTTAATCCGGTTTTGTGTTGGAGCAGGGCTTATGATGACTGGGATGACTGTGAGTTTGCGGATGAAGGACTCCGGAATGGTAGGAAGCGCGGAAGGTGGGCAAGAATTGAGTTTTTTTTGTTTGTTTGGTTGAATGTAGAGAGGAATTGGAAGAATTATGAAAGTGCTTACATTTTGTTGCAGGAGTTGGAAATTCAATGCGGCCTGGAGGAATTTGTCAAAGGTGCGGTGGCCAGAGCTAGACATTGGGATTGAACCGCTGGACTGGCAACGAATTTATTGGGAAATGCATCTTCAAAAGTATGCCTTTTTTGTTGTTTCTTGGTGAAAGATTGATCAGCGATGATTGCTATTGTTTATTCATGGTTGATTTGGCATTTTTGTTGTATGAAATCATAAACAACAGTTGCCTAGATGCAGTAGCCGAGATAGCTTCACTGCCGTCATTTGATGGACGCCTCAGTGAAACCAGGATTCCAGGTACTAGCTAGGAATTATAGTGCTTGTTTTTGTATAATTCCTGTTATTTGAGGTATCTGGGTGAGGTTCTGTTGAAAGTAGGAAGATCATTTTATTGTCAAGCTTCATTACGAGCTTGAATAGAAGCTTTACCTACTTACACAGTCTGAAGTTTAATCACTTGCATATGCATGTTTTGCTAAATTGCCACAAGCAAAAGTACCATTTTCAACATCTCATTCGAAACTCTCTCCTTTATATCTCCATTAGGAACCGTGCCCTGTTGCATTTCTGATGGTTGTAATAATCTAATACGTGGTGTATCTCATCATATTTTTGTTTGTGCAGAATCTATATTGGGATTGATAGGTTGTGAGGGCTTTGTGCATAATTCAACTTGTGATTATTCCGAACTACATCACCATTCCCAACAATTTGGTTATTATGCCAGGTAAGTAAGTATATTAGGAGTGCAAAGTTCTTTGTTACTTCAAGAGTGGAGGGCGGGCTGCGTGCTCAAATTTTAATTACTTCACACTTTGTCCTTTTCTCTGTCCTTTTCTTCTTCCTTTATGTAAATATTATCTTATACTTTCTGTTCTTATCTTTGTTCAGATGCCTGAGACTTCAGAATGTTCTCTGTGGTGCAGAAATTTCTGTAAGTTACTCTGCTTATGTTCATATGCTAATCACAAGTCGAAAACACTTTTTGTATTAGGTATTAACATTTGTGATCAAGGGGATAACTAAGTCTTATTTATCTATATTGGTGCTCTGATTGTGCTGTATATGTAGCTCATCCCATTTAGTTGGAACAGAAAATGTGTTGAGTTGAAGTCAATCTACGTATTACATGTCCATATTTCTAACTTAATGGCTTGAGTTTCTTTATCCGCAAGTCACTTTGCATTAATGTAATACTAATCTGTTGCAGCATTTGTTGAGGAACAGCCGATTGCAGAGATTGGAACTAAGGTGGATCAGATCCAAGGAGCATGTAAGCTCAGTTCTTTCTCCTTCAATGTTACTAAGACGGAATATGTATCCTTCTCAATAATTGACCACTCCCCCATAAAAATAGAAATCATTTGAAAATTTCTGTAGGGTGCGTCAACCAGTTTCCTTTAATTGCCTTGTCTCATGAAAAACGTTTCTTTGAGTGGATGAGATTGGCTAAAGCGAGCAGCTACTCCTAGTTTATATAGATGTCATGTGTTAAATGCATAGAAAGATACTACTCTCACACTATGAAATACATGTACATGCTATATCAAAACACAAACCTCCTGTCATTTTATTTTGAAGCCAACAGCCAACTCCCATATTCAATAAATGATATACAGATTTGCTGTTTATGTGTAGGCTAAATGCTTCCTTTCAACTTCCTAAGTGTTGATTTAATCAAATGTCTGATTCCATATGCATTTCTAATTTTCTACAGATTGATGGATTATGCAAACTTCTGAGCCAGAATAGTGAAAGTTTAACATCACTTGAGCTCATTCACTGCAAGCTTTCTTCAGCTTCTATTGATGAAATTTGTTGTTCTCTATCCAGAAAGAGTGTGCAAACTCACGGCATAAAAAGCTTCTCAATCAGCACATCAAACTTCCTTGAAACAAACCCACTTTCCTTACCTCTCGGACTAGTGTCATTTTTGTCATTGGGAAGGTATGTCTGTTGTTCAAATTTCAGGCATAATTTAAATCCATGCATTTGTTTTATTGGCGTGTGCTGTTAATTGGTTGAAGTGACATGAAAACTTGAATGTAAATAAATAAATGGGCAGTAAAAAACCTTTATGCTGTATGCTTACTTCTTAGTATATAATTAAATATATAAATAACTGTTGCATAGTTGTTCGTTAGAAGCTTCGGCTGTTTAAATAAAACTTTATTACAATCCTTTCAGGATTCTAGTCTTGAAGTTTTATGTATTTGGAATTCAGTTTTGATGACTAAGGTGTCTTTTAATGCCTGTTTTTCTTTGGTGCACTTAATATATAATTCTAGTGGCAGTTAAAAGCAAGTTTAACTAAAGATGTACAGATAAATAGGAAAAGTTCGGTCAATTACTTCTACCTTAGACCTTCATTATTTACAATCATGAATCATCTGCGAAAACGTTAGAAATCTTGATGGATGCTCATTACTATTACACTTTTTTTGTTCCTTCTGAATTGTATATCCATGGGCATTCATTTGCATTGATGATAAACTAATTGCTCCAATTGTACATTCGTGCTTCTGACATCTGTCTTCTTTTGCTATCAGGTCCTTGTATTCGTTAAAACTCTCTGACAACCACCTTGGCCGGAATTTTGCAAAAATGGTTTTTGGCACTCTTATAAATGCTGCTTCTAGTCTATCCATCCTTGACCTTTCAGATAACAATGTAAGATGAAATTTCATTAACAAAGGTATTTTACATTTCTTTTTGAATCCACCATAAACTAACATGAAACTTGATACAAAACCATGCAGTTATCAGGCTGGCTTTCTGAACTCTATTGGAGATCACCAAGTGGCCCTCCAATACCTTTGGGAACTAGAAAGTCCTTGCAATCATTGCGAGTCCTCAATTTAAGGTATAAACTTATAATTACTTTTTGCCTTCTAAGCAAATCTCTATCCCTTCAAATAAAAATTTGTGGCAGTCATAAATAGATCACCGAACTTCAAAAGGTGAATCACCAGTCCTTTACATTGATTACCCTGTGCAGAAACCTGATTTCACTCATTGTATAACTTGTACTTTTAGGGGAAATAATCTAAACAAAGATGATGCTGATGGCCTTAGATACGCTCTTGTTCACATGCCTAAGTTGGAGGTCTTGGATATGAGTGATAATCCTATTGAGGATGATGGAATCAGGTTGGTTGAATTTTGAATCTCCACATATGCGTTGAGCATTATAAGCACAAGGTTTAATATTCTAAGTCATCAATGTGTCAGGAGTCTAATTCCGTATTTTGTCGAAGCATCCGAAAAGTGCACTCCTTTTGCTGATTTAATGTTGGAGAGTTGTGAACTTTCCTGTGATGGTGTGACTCTACTCATAGATACCCTTTCAACCCTAAAAAGACCATTGAAGTCTCTGTCTGTTGCTGATAACGACCTCGGCAGGTTTGTCTGGTTGACACTGGCTTAGACATTACATATCATTACTTATGTTTCTTTCTCAATACTTCATGGGTCGATACTCTTATGTAGCCACGTAGCACCAGCTTTGGGAAAAATCTTATCTGCATCAATTCAAGTACTCAATGTTGAAGGCATTGGATTGGGTTTATCTGGTTTTCGGGAACTGCAAGATGGCATAACGAAGGATTTGAAGCTAGTTGAGATCAACATAAGGTTCAAAATGCTAGATACTTTTTCTTCTATTTTATATATAAGATTGTAGTTGATGCCAGTAGATTGATCTTATTTTTAAATTGTGTAGCAAAAACCGTGGAGGAATTGAAGCTGCAAAGTTTTTGGTAAACTTGATATCAAGGGCACCAGAACTTGTTACAGTCAATGTTGCATATAATCTTATGCCATTCAACTCCTTGACCATCGTTTGCTCTGCCATTAAAGCTGCTAAGGGTATTTATTTACTGTACCAAGTTTTTCTAAGTAGCTAATGTCATCTGATAATTAACTTTTCTACTGCTGCCAGGCTTCACCGTCTATATTAGCATTACCAAATTATTTAGACCTTCTCTGTTTATCACTCTTTCGGTTCAATGACTGTCAGTGAATAAATCAAAGCAAAGCGTTCATGTGAAATCGTAGTTAATAGGAAGTGAAATAATTTTATATGCCTTTGTTAAGCCTGTTGCTGAATAAGTTTATCTATTAGGTCATCTTGAGCATCTGGACTTGAGGGGAAATACTTGGGATAATCAATCAGGTTACTGCCTCTATGCTTGCCGACGCCCAATGTAATGGAAAGCCTGTTTTCATTCTTTCGTCTTCACAAACTGCGGGTGCACCCTATGACGATGATCCTTAGATGGGATGGCTATCACAGTGTAGTTTGACCCCGTTGGATGTACCAAAATTTCTCAGCTGTGCAGCAAAGTTATGCAGGTATTATGCTTTTTAGATATGATTGTGTATATTACTTGCCTTTAAGGCCTTGATAGCTATGAGTTAGCAAGTTATGCTTCAGTTGGTTCTTTTTAAGGGGTTTGATGTATTGTAAAGTCTCTTACTGATGGATTATCCTATTAAGTGATGTGGGACTGTTCAGAAACTTTAGCATGTTACATAAACTTTTTGAGTTGGGAAATGCTACTGTCAATCACCCACGCCCGTTAACTCAGCCTGTGCGCCAACGAATGCCTAACCCCTAACCTTAGCACGCTCTTCTCACGTTTGGAGCTTCGACGTGAAGTTAAAAACAGTTTTGTCTTGTGTAATAAGTCACATAAAGAAGTGGTTGCCACTACTCACCACCACTATAAGATACAAGGGTATGGACTTCTACCTATTGTGTTTTGTCATGTATCCATCACATCCATTGCTCAAAACGGAACCATCACAAAAACAAGCAAATTGGTGCTGCTAGAACTAAAGGGCATGGTAATGGTAACTTGTACAACACATTTTCAACCAGACGGTTCTGTTTATGGCATGAGCATTTCGACGATCATGATCGATTTATAAGTAGGGTAGAGAGGGATTGAACTTGGGACCAAGAAATTCTAACTTGAACCATGGGTGAGCACGATACATTTTTGTACAGACTAAACCTCAATTGAAAACACAACCCCTTAAACCCAAAGCAACCAAATGAAGCCCAACGGTTGGAATCGTTTCGGTTTAAGTCCTCCATTGTTGCACATCTACAAGTTCTACAAGCTCATCCAATTGATCAAAAGCTTTGATAAAGAAGAACATAATTTAGTTTCCAAGTCTCACCCAGCAACCCTAAAAGGCTGAACCGGCCAACCTGTAAAGGTCAAACTATTTATACAATATATTGGCACCATCCCCAATTAGATAGGGGCATTTTTGTATTTTCAAACTATTAACCGTAACATAATTGGAAGAGGATCCTCTCCTGAGCACAGAATGGGGATCCTCCTAACTAAGAAATCCGGGCTGTTCGATTTTAATTCAACGATTGCAATTATTATAACTTTTAGATGATTCCTTATTTAAAACCGTTAGATTAATTTTGAACGATCTGGATTTCGTGATTAGGAGGATTCTCATCCTGAGCTTAGGAGAGGATCCTCTTCCAACATAATTAAGCAAGCAAAGCAAAAGTAGGCCACTTTTAAACCTATTATTTTATTTTTAACTTTGCGCTGTCCAATTGTCGAAAAGGTTGTTGGGTAGGCTTTGTCATCAAGTTAGGCTTTTTTATTTTTTCTCTCTTTTAATAAATTCTTTTTCTATCATTTAGTATTACAGTTCAGTAATATTTCTTTTTATTTGTGGTCTTAGGTTAGACTTTCGTCAAAGATAAATTTGAATCATGTTATTACAAGTTCAATGTGAAGCTTAGCAGTTAGCACACTCCTCACCCCTTTAGTGTAAATAACATTATTTGTTAAAAAATAAATTATAATAAATCCCCTTTCTAATCCTCCCAATTAACAACAATATTATCATCATATTACGATGAATGACCCGTGAGCTAACAATTAGTTACTCATTTTCTGGTTCAAAGTTGTTATCAGTTTTGGCTGCATCATCTCTAATCATCACGGGGGAGGACTTTCTGGAAGAAAATATGGGGTCCCAAATTAATAATCTTTTGGACACACCAACCTTTTTCCCTAATTTAGAGTCGGCCCGGAAATTTTTGGACTATAGTTGGTTATTGGGATCGGAATTTCCAATTCAACTTACAATTTTGCTTCAGATTGTGTTCAGCATGAGAGTTCAGCTAATTGGTCGGACGCTTTTATCGGTTTACTTTGCACTCAAGTTTGAATGTGCTTTTTACGTAAATTGGTCGTCTTGGAAAAAAATGTTAAGTTTTGTAATATTTTTCATACAAAATACGTAATGACTTGTTTGATGCCTAAAATTGAATCTTATCTAATAATTTGTAAAATTCAAACGTTAAAGGTAGAGGTGAATGGTGAATAGGTTTTGTTTTGTTTTTGTTTTTGTTTTTTTTTTTCAAGGGTATTACAAGGGAATTGGAATATCCAATGAAGACAACTTATCTATTTTAATGATACTATTTTGGACAATTAACTAAAATGATCAATTTTCGACATTTAATTAAAGAAATGGTCAATTTTCGCTGGGAGCTCTCAAGACCTTAGAACGGGGCCCGAGAGTGACAAGCTATTGCCTCTTGGTGAACAAACATTACTCTCGTTTGCTAATTCCTTTTCTTTTTTGATTTAATGATTTTATTGTATTGTCTATTATTTTGATGTATTTTTGGGACCATGGTCCATGTGACAGGCAGGCAGGTAGGAACAAGCTTGTGCTTTCGTAAGAGGAAAACTACTTATTTCGTGGGTTTGCCATTCTAAAGTTAAACATCTTTTGAATTTTCATCTGTGACGAAAACAATGTGTTAATATCGTACCAAGAAAAAAAAAAAAGTTAGATTGTAGATCAATACGTTACATTTCATTATAATATCACACATTATGTAAGAGAAAAAAAGAGTTTAAATATTCTAACGCTGAACCATTTTATGATAAAACTCCACAACTTATCGGACTGTGCAGGTGATAACTAATAAGTTAAGATCAATATCGATGTTATTGAAACTAAGCATTTGACATTTAACCATTTAAGCTTTGTCGTAACCTCAATCTTAACAATTTATTTTATTATACAAGTCGAATTGTTTGTTTACCTAAATTTTCAATGCCTTGCATTATGTGGCTGGAAAAAGAAAATGATATATAAAACATTATTATACCTAAGTATGCATTACATAATTCTAACCCCGAAAATGAAAAAAAGGTTACAGAAAACTTTTAAAGAGTGTTGCTTTCCCATGCTAACATCTTTACTGAGATTGGGCTGCCCCAAAAGTCAAATTAAATGACATGGAAACTCAGATCTATTTAGAACAAAAAATGTTAACAAAACTTTCATCTATACTTTCGTTTTATCTTTTTGATTTTCTTTCTCATATTGCAATGTTGTATGATAATTCGAACCGTTTGATTTTTAGGTATCATTTAATGATTTTTAATTTGGTTAAATTTTTACGTAATTGATTATTAACCAGTAATTTAAACCTCTCTCCCTCTATCCACTCTCACATTCTTTTTTACTCTTTTCCTCCCTCTTTCAATTTAAAAAAAAAAAAAAAAATTTGCGGCATAGTATAATGTGGTTAAATCGTTAATTATTTCAAAAGGTGAAAAAATTGTTAATTAACAATAAATTAAGACAAAAAATAATTAAGTATGCAGAGACTGTGACAGTTCACTGTAGTAACTACAAACAAGTAAGAGAACAGTGGTAGACTCGGTAAATTAGTTATAAAACAGGGGTAAAGTCTCGAACTACCCCTCAACCACATGCTTGTTTCTCCATCTCCTTCAGTTCCAATATAGCGAAAAAGCCAAACTACCCTCTCTCCTCCCTCCCTCCCTCCCTCCCTAAAACTTTCTCTCTCTAAAATCTTCAGGCTCGGGTGACAGAGAGAGACGACCCTGTAAATTCAGACACACTCATCCTCCTCCGCATTTCTCTCCTCATTTTCTCTCTCTAACTTTCTCTCTCTACATTCCACTTTCAGTCACTCACTGTCTCACTCCGCCAACTCCAAACGCCCATTCCTCTCTCTCTCTTATGCCCTAACTCAGCACCTAATTCACCAGATCTGAGCCCGACCGCACCAGATCGAACCCTAAAATTTCTCCAATGGAGGAAGCGCTGGAGCTCGCGCGTGCCAAGGACACCAAGGAGCGCATGGCGGGAGTGGAGCGACTGCATCAGCTTCTGGAAGCGTCCAGAAAGAGCCTGACTTCGTCGGAGGTGACGTCGCTCGTCGACTGCTGCTTGGATCTTCTCAAGGACAACAACTTCAGAGTCTCCCAGGGCGCTCTGCAGGCCCTCGCCTCCGCCGCTGTGCTCTCCGGCGACCACCTCAAGCTCCATTTCAATGCGCTTGTTCCCGCCGTCGTTGAGCGTTTGGGCGATGGCAAACAGCCCGTCCGCGATGCCGCTAGGAGGCTCCTGCTTACTCTCATGGAGGTATTCTTTTTACTCTCTTCCTCTTTTGCCCTCTGCATTTTGTCTTAATTTCTCAAATGTAGTGAAATAATAAACTCGTGGCGAAATCGTTGAGGCTTCTAATTTTAAATTGATTCTGAAAAGATGATAACATGGTAATTACACTTGAAAATGTGCATGGAATTGTTGCCCAACAAAGTTTGTGGATTTTAGCATGTAGTTAGAGGCCAATTGAGTACTTTTGGAGGTGTTTTGCTGTGCCGTATGGTTTACCTTAGCATAGATACACCTCAATTTTGTACTGGCTGTTGTTTGTTGTACTTCGCGTATTGGGACCAATCAGGTTGTTGCTAATCCATCTAGACATTATCAGATTTTCAATTATTGTGGGGCACATAGATAAACAGACTCAGTGACCCGAATCGTATAGATACTTGAACCGCTTTGCAGTTGAAGTTTCTTTGAATAGCATGAAGAAATGATAAGATGGGTTGTCAGTATACATAAGTATTTGCCTGATTCGGCAGCCGTGTCACTTTAAGTTGAACCAGTTATGTTGGATAGTGGAAGTCATTTCATCATGTTACAATACGAATCACAGCACATTTTTAGCATGGCTTACTATTTCAGTCTGTGTCTTAAAATAAGAAACTACAATTACACGAGACATGCACAATACAGTATATCATATCTGCTGAGTTTCCAACAAAAAAAAGTCGGAACCATTCTGCTGTTTTTGTTGTTTTCCTAGCCTAATCTGAGAGGAGATTTTTTAGCTTTTAATGCAATTAGTACCTCTGACAGCCCCTTCTTTGTGTGCGTACAGACGGTGGAGATCTGGAGATCATAATAGCGCCTTATCTGATTTCTTTGAAATATCATTATGTATCCTGGATTGATCTCAAATCATTGTTTCTTTTAAGGATTAAAAAGGATCAAATCTTGTTTTCTTTCTGCTGCAGGTTTCTTCTCCGACAATAATCGTTGAAAGAGCAGGATCTTATGCCTGGGCGCACAAAAGCTGGAGAGTTCGAGAAGAGTTTGCACGAACGGTCACCTCAGCAATTGGACTTTTTGCATCAACTGAACTTCCACTTCAGCGGACTATACTTCCTCCGGTATGTGTGTTGAATTTTATGAGCAAAACATACATTTTCTTCCTAACCAGTTCATATACTTGTGAGAAACAAACTAAAATTTTCAATGTTTCTTTGTAATTAGATTCTACAGATGTTAAGTGATCCAAACCCTGGTGTAAGGGATGCAGCTATAGCGTGCATTGAGGTTAGTAACTTAGTAGTATTGAATGTATATGCAGGCAGGGCCTTCATCTGACAATTATTCTTATTTATGCTTTCTTTTCTATTTCCAGGAGATGTATACACAGGCAGGACCTCAATTCCGTGATGAACTTCAGAGGCACCACCTTCCTATGTCTATGGTGAAAGTCTAAGATAATATGCAGTTTACTTTCTTATAATTCTTTGCCCTTTAATTTTTTTTTCCAAGTACAATGACCATTTTTCGTAGTTTTGTCGAACTAATCTGAATGTCATACGATGCGGGTTGCACTTTGGGTTTCATTTTTCTAAACAATGTGCAACTGCAGCTGAAGGATATTAATGCGAGGTTAGAGAGGATTGAACCTAAGATTCGCTTATCAGATGGACTTAGTGCTGTAGAAGCGAAGCCTGTGAACCTTAACCACAAGAAAAGTAGTCCAAAGGCCAAGAGTTCCTCGAGGGAGGCGTCTCTCTTTGGAGGTTAGGATGCTTTGCCCTCAATTCTGGGAAGTTCAAGAGATTACGTACTGACTGATTTATTCGGTGATAAATTAACTGTAGTTTACCTATGTGCATTTGTATAAACAATATGTTGGCAAAATTTGAAGAATCTTTTGTTATAAAGTTTCATACCCAGACATTCCTTCATTGCCTTAATTTATAGTTGCGAAAGCCAGTTCATTTTCTTTATACCATATGGTGAAGCACCATCTGAATTTTGGTTACGGGACTAAGATAGGTTGGAATTGAAGATTTTTGACATTCCAATTCATAGTCTATGATGTGTTGGTACTGTATACTATTGAAACATATTGGCACTCTAGAAAATGGCCTAGACAGTATTATTCTCAGTTTTAAAAGAATTTCTGTATATAGTTATTTAAATGGTCTTAGCTATGCTTGAAATATTCTTTGCATTGTCTGTGGAACTGTTAAGATTGTTGAATAACTGATATCTGTTGAATTGCTATTCTCTTCTGTCCCATGCAGCGGAAAATGATGCTTCTGAAAAATCCGTAGACCCTATTAAAGTTTATTCAGAAAAGGAACTAATAAGGGAAATTGAGAAAATTGCTTCTACCCTTGTACCAGAGAAAGACTGGTCAATTCGCATTGCTGCAATGCAGAGAATTGAAGGACTTGTATATGGAGGTTTGGTTCCCCCACTCTCTTGCAATTCCTTCCTGATCTTAGCCCCTCTGCCCCGGGCAGACATGCATAATCAATCAAGTCATGTTTTATCATGTCATAAATTATTTTGATTAGATAAAACCATTGTATTGTTGTGTCAGTATGGTCATTATATTTCTTTTGTATTGTATCATTTGCTTCAAGCTCCCTCTTTTCTCACCTTTCTTAGCCGCTTTGATTTTTTGATGAATGGAAATTTAATTTATTTATTACAAGTAATATTGCTGTGAAATGGCTGTAGCTTCAAAAAGATTATTGGATTGTAATAGTTTGAGTTAATAAATACATGTAGGTGCTGCTGACTACCAATGTTTCCGGGGACTCCTGAAGCAACTTGTTGGGCCTCTGAGCACACAATTATCTGATCGAAGGTCCAGCATAGTGAAACAGGTGCGCTAATATATTCTTGTATTTTTCACTGTGCCTGGTTATGGATTTATTCTTGCGCTTCAGAAACCCCTTTTAGGAGATTAGTTCACAATCAAATTTTTAGTAACCTGCAGCTTTCTGTTGTGAACAGTTTGCTGTTTCAATTTATATTTTAGCTCATTACTTGTGGGAAATGTTCGCTAGTTAGCACAAGAAAATATGTTTAATAAAAAATCCCCTATAAGAAACAAATATTTATAATAAAACGCTACCGAAAACAGTTATATCAAGTGTTTAAAATGGAGGCAGACACTGGTTAGTTCTTGCCATTCTTTGCAGTTGTCAGTGAGATATTTGGATTAGAAACATTTAGCTCTTGAAAACCTTGCATAGATTGTGGTACAAATGTCAAAGGCAGCTGTTCATACCTTGTTAATGCTTTGTGCTTGTTCATGTGCCTTGGGGTTGTTGATTAGTTTTTCTTCTTGTTAGGCTTGCCATCTGTTATGCTTTTTGTCAAAGGAGTTATTAGGAGATTTTGAGGCATGTGCGGAGATGTTCATTCCAGTAAGTTTATTTTTTGCCAAAATCAATCCTCAAGTATTGACAGAAAAGAAAATTCCTCAAGTGACAAATTTTTTTTTTAACTAATTTTATCATATGGTAATCAGGTTCTTTTCAAGCTGGTTGTGATTACTGTACTTGTAATTGCAGAGTCTGCAGATAACTGCATAAAAACGGTAATTCTAACTCTAATGATCTTTTACTTTTTTTTTGGTTTCTGAGTAAAAGAAAATGATTTTTTAAAGCAGGATTTTGGCACTTTATCCTTTTTCCTTATCAGATGTTGCGTAATTGTAAAGTTGCTCGCGTGCTTCCACGAATTGCTGATTCTGCAAAGAATGACCGTAATGCAATACTTCGTGCAAGGTATAACTCTCGAGATCAATTCATACACAGGCAGATGCAATGAGTTACGCATTTGTTTTTTGTTTCATTTAGTAATACATTTTGTATTGTAGATGCTGTGATTATGCACTGTTGATACTAGAGTATTGGGCTGATGCACCTGAAATACAACGCTCGGCGGATTTGTATGAAGATCTAATAAGGTGCTTGCGTGGCCGATGCAATGAGTGAGGTATTCATATCAAGGATTCCTATATTTTATTTTTTCTGACTTGTTTGGAGTTTTCATATGTATTAGGATTCATATGTGGAACTTCCTGTGTGTATATAGGTCCGATCAACTGCAAGAATGTGCTATAGAATGTTCTCAAAAACGTGGCCAGAGCGTTCCCGACGGTTATTTTCGCTATTTGATCCTGTTATTCAAAGGGTATGCCATTTTCTTTATTGCAAGGAGGATTGCATTCTATTTTATGGGGAGTCATTGTTTAATTTTTAAAATTGTGCACAGTTAATCAATGAAGAGGATGGGGGAATACATAGGCGTCATGGTTCTCCTTCCGTTCGTGATAGGGGTGTGTCACACACTCCGCAGCCTTCTGCTGCCTCAAATTTGCCTGGATATGGAACTTCGGCTATTGTTGCAATGGATAGAAGTTCAAGTTTATCATCTGGCAATTCTATCTCATCGGGACTACTTCTGTCGCAAGCTAAGTCACTTGGTAAAGGTACTGAACGTAGTCTGGAAAGTGTGTTGCATGCAAGCAAACAGAAGGTCAGTGCAATTGAAAGCATGCTTAGAGGTTTGGATTTGTCTGAGAAACATAATTCAACTCTCCAGTCATCAAGCCTGGATCTAGGTACCTAATGACTTTGCCTATATATTATTTTCTTTATTGGAATATAACTTGTAAATTTCAGCATATGGAGTCATTAGATAGTTATGGGAATGAACTAGCTGCTCAATTTAGCAAATTTGATTCCGTTGTGAGCGGCTAAATTGTTCTCTTTTTGCCCCTAGTGCAGGAGTTGACCCTCCATCATCTCGTGATCCACCATTCCCTGCTGCTGCCCCAGCTTCTAATCATCTCTCAAACTCTTTAATGGCAGATTCAACTACCTCAAGTATCCATAAAAGTAGTGGCCGCAATGGTGGATTGGTTTTGTCCGATATCATTACACAAATTCAAGCTTCCAAAGATTCTGGTAAATCGTCATATCGCAGTAATCTATCAGCAGAAGCTGTGCCAACTGTTTCTTCATACGCAATGAGGAGAGCTTCTGAGAGAACTCAAGAAAGAGGTTCGATCGAAGAGAACAATGACACTAGGGAGGCTAGACGGTTTATGAACTCTCAAATCGATAGGCATTATGACACATCTCACAGAGATGGGAACTTTAGGGATTCACATAGCAATCATGTGCCGAATTTTCAAAGGCCACTTTTAAGAAAGAATGTGACTGGAAGGATGTCTGCAGGCAGGAGGAGAAGTTTTGATGAAAGCCAACTCTCACTCAGGGAAATGTCAAGTTATGTAGAAGGTCCCGCATCTCTAAATGATGCTCTGAGTGAGGGACTGAGTCCATCGTCTGACTGGAATGCTAGGGTTGCTGCATTTAATTATCTACGATCTTTGCTGCAGCAAGGTCCAAAGGGAATTCAAGAAGTGATTCAGAATTTTGAGAAAGTAATGAAGTTGTTTTTCCAACACTTGGATGATCCCCACCATAAAGTTGCTCAGGCAGCACTTTCAACACTAGCAGATATTATTCCATCTTGCCGTAAGCCCTTTGAAAGTTACATGGAAAGGATCCTACCCCATGTTTTCTCACGGTTAATTGACCCAAAGGAGTTAGTTAGGCAGCCGTGTTCGACAACGTTAGATATTGTTAGCAAAACGTACAGTGTAGATTCCCTCTTGCCTGCTTTGCTCCGTTCATTAGATGAACAGCGATCACCAAAGGCCAAACTAGCTGTTATTGAGTTTTCCATTAGTTCTTTTAACAAGCATTCACTGAATCCTGAAGGTTCTGGTAATAGTGGCATCCTTAAATTATGGCTTTCTAAGTTGGCGCCATTGGCCCATGAGAAAAATACTAAACTAAAGGAGGCAGCCATTACGTGCATAATATCTGTTTACTCTCACTTTGATTCAGTAGCTGTCTTGAATTTTATTCTTAGTTTGTCAGTTGAAGAACAAAATTCTTTGAGAAGGGCCTGAAACAGTACACTCCTCGCATTGAAGTGGACCTTATGAACTTCTTGCAAAACAAGAAAGAGCGACAGCGTCTCAAGTCTTATGATCTATCTGATGTAGTTGGAACATCTTCTGAAGAAGGATATGTTAGTGCCTCAAAGAAAAGTCACTTCTTTGGGAGGTATTCTGCTGGTTCAGTTGATAGTGATGGCGGCAGGAAGTGGAGTTCAACCCAAGAATCAGCCATGGTCACCGGCCCTGTTGGCCAAGCAGCTTCTGATGACACACGGGAGAACTTGTATCAGAATTTTGAGACTGGTTCCAACACTGATGTTCTCAATTCAAAATCCAAAGATATGTCTTACACTATGAATTCTGTGAGTCAGAACTTGGGCTCCTGGACTAGCCCAGTGGATAAAGTTGATGGTAGAGTAAATTTAGAAGGCTTGTCTACTTCTTGCCTGGATGTTAATGGTCTTATGTGCTTGGACCATTTAGGGGTTGCTGAGACTATTGGGCATGATAGTGAAGCTCCCACCGACTTGGACCCTAATCATTATACACTTACAGCTGTGAAGGTTAATTCTGCACCAGAATCAGGTCCCAGCATTCCTCAAATACTTCATCTGGTGAGTTCTTTGGCTTAATAAGCTCAAAATTTTCCTTAAGAGAGTAAGTTTATTATCAGCGTTTTGTTATAGAACTTTTTACCTTTCTAGGCTTTTATTATTGTGATGAATTTTTTTTTTTTTTTTGGATAATTGCACCAGTAATCTACTTCTCTAAACAGGCAACTGTTGTGAAGAAAAATATATTGATGTGTACTTTTACAATTTATGGAGCTTTAATGTCATGTTATTTCTTTTCTGTTAATTGAATGTGTGTATAGATTGGCAATGGAAGTGAGGAAAAGCCCTACAGCAAGCAAACGTGGTGCACTTCAACAATTAATTGATGCTTCCATAGCTAATGACCACTCTGTTTGGACCAAGGTTTGTTAGCCCTGGCACGTGACACATTTTCTGTCTTTTTAACGTATGTGTAAAGTTTTCAAAAATTATTTGAACATTTCTATGAAGATAAGAAAACAGGAAGAGAATGCTTGAATAAATTAGAAAATGAGAAGTGGACAATTGTTTGGTTATTGATCAAAGGAGACATGGAGAATGTTACAACGTATCCATATTTTTATTGTTTTACCTTTCTTTCATTTGTAGAATGCTTGTAAATCTCATCATAAATTTTGTAACTTTAAAATGGTGTTAGCTTTCAGGATCTTAGTAGCATTGGGAATTGGCTTAATAGTTGATACGTAGACGTATATATTTCAATGTTGATTCTGTTGACTGCACAGTGAAGTCAAATGGATGAGGAAACACATTTTTTATTGCACTAGAGAAACAAACTACATATACACATTTTTGTGGGTATAAAACTAGAATTCTGTAATGTAATTACTCAATCGTATATTAATGATTGTTCTGTGGTGCATGTGCAGTACTTCAATCAGATTTTGACCGTTATACTTGAGGTGTTGGATGATTTTGAGTCCTCGATTCGGGAACTCTCTCTTTCCTTGATTGTTGAAATGCTTAAGAACCAGGTTTGTTGTTTATTTTTTTTGGATACATATTGCCTGGAAATTGTTTAGCTTGTATTCCTGATGTTGCTTTCATTTGTTTCCAGAAAGATGCAATGGAAGATTCTGTTGAGATCGTAATTGAGAAGCTGCTTCATGTTACGAAGGATGTCGTTCCCAAGGTAAATTTTGTTGCATTAATTATTTTATTCTGGACTTACACTGTTTTGATGGCTCAAACTATACAATATTCCTGTCAGGTTTCAAATGAATCCGAGCACTGCTTGAGTATCGTTTTAGCCCAGTATGATCCATTCAGATGTCTAAGCGTACGTACTTACGATCCAGCTCCCTACTAATCCAGTTGTTTGAAGTGAAAAATAAATTAAAAGATCAGAAACCTTTGAGTTATGCTTGGCTTATTTCCCCTGTACTTTGTTGCGAGTACTGTTTAACATTCAGTTGTTGATGCTGCAGGTTATTGTCCCTCTGTTGGTAACTGAAGATGAGAAAACTCTTGTTACTTGCATCAACTGTTTGACAAAGGTATTACACTTCCGGAGCTGTATTAGCTTGTACTATTGATTGCACACATTAAATTCTAGTTTAGGAGTTATTTTGCATCACGCCATTTCATGTGTAGTTGTAGTTTTTATGAACTATCTTGCTAAGGCTCTTATGTTCCATTCTTCAGCTTGTGGGCCGGCTTTCACAAGAGGAACTGATGGCTCAGTTGCCATCATTTTTGCCTGCACTTTTCGAAGCGTTTGGAAACCAGAGTGCTGACGTTCGCAAGGTAATGGTTACTATTGCCCCGTGGGAGTCAATTATGTTCAGCATATAGTCATCTGGTGCCGGTGACTGAATTTTTTTCATTTTATGTTGTACAGACTGTTGTCTTCTGTTTAGTCGATATATACATCATGCTCGGAAAAGCGTTCTTGCCATACCTGGAGGGACTCAACAGCATGCAGTTACGGCTGGTGACTATTTACGCCAACAGAATTTCACAGGCCAGGACGGCCACGTCAATTGACACCAACCATGATTAGCGCGGTTTGTTTAGGCAGGAATTCTGGGTTCCCGGTGTTGTGTCATTCATCGTGTTGTGTATTTTTGTATATTGTGTGAATACATTTTGACTCCAAATTTTTTGTAATTTTGTTATCTTCACATGCCTGTATGTTCTTATTCTTTCGTATTCTCGTGTTTGTCTGGTTTGGAGGTAGAAGAACTGAAGAGTGCAATTTGTGGGAAGCAATTAGTGTCACAGCGCACATATTGTAATCGAAATTTCCCAAACAGCGTTTATATATATATAAAAGCAAAAGGTTTTGGAATTACCGTTCATTTATGGAACGAGCTTTGTAAATTTTTGGTTCTCTGTTTGGCCATTTTCGGTGTGGGTCGGGTGGTGTTATTGGCGTTCCAAATAATCATTACATTATATGCTAGATTAGGGAGCTGATGCTATTCAAACTCATGCCGTGGTGTAAGGACAACATTTTTTTTTACCATTGTAGTAGAGGGCCAGGGTTTACAAAGCGAGATAATTAGGGTTTAGTGATATGTTTGGTTTTGTATTTGAGGAAGGGTGATGCTATCTGTATCTTTTCTTTTTTTACATTTCACACACTCCTTTTAATTTTTGACCGTTAGGTCTAATGAATTGAAAAATATCAATGAACAAAAATTAACAACGGTGTATTAAAAATAAAAATAGGTGTGAATAGCACTGCTCTGGAGGAATAGTTTCTTAATGCATAAGGATCCATTAATGTTGATCTGGGCTATAAGGATCCATTAATCCGCAGGTGCCCACTTTGGGGTTTGAACTATGTTTGATGTTGATCTGGGCTCTATGGAAGCATAGGAATGATGTCCTATAGAACGGCACTGTGGTACTGCCGCAAGAGATTGTGCTCAGAACCGAAGGTTGGATGCAGGAATACCACAAATGGCACAAGCCAGCAGCAAAGAGGTCTGTTCGAGAGGTTTAGAAGTGGCGGAAGCCTGAGGAGGTTTGGATCAAGTGCAATTTTGATGGGGCCTGGAGTCAAAGTGGGCGTGGGGGGAGGTTTTGGTGTGAACATCTAAGTTCAAATAGTATATTGTAATTTATTATTATTTTTTTTAAAAGATCTTTTTCTACAAAAGACTAGATTTTTTTTTTTTGGTCAAATAGATTAGGAATTTATTTTCCTATTGTATCAATGTAAATATGTCTCTACTTAGAGAGGAATACTATTAACGCTTAAAATTGGTAAGGTTAACAAAGAATAGGATAGCCGTGTATTAGCCGGGCACGAGATTTGCAAATAATAAGAAATGGACAATAAGATTTAAGTAGTTCACTCTCAAAATTGAGCTACCGAGTCTCTTAGATTGATAGAGTACATAGTTACAAATAGCGGTCGGCTCGATATTGTATAATTTATCTTTCAATTCGTTCTATTCCTTTTACTTGTCCTTATATTGGCTTTTCTCTGAGCCTTAAACATTTGAGCTCAAACCTATCACTTCCTTTGCATTTAATGCACATGTTTGACTTACTAGTTGTCCTTCCACCCTTTAGCAAACATGTGGCAACAAGGTGATGTTTGTGCAGGTTCATTTGCTAGTTTTCTTGGTACAATGCAACCAAGCGCCTTGCTTAGCCTAAGGTTGGTGGAAACCCATACCCAAGTACCCTATCTGTTAGTCTTATGTCCCTTCATAGGTCTTCGACTCCCCGTCTAGCCATCACGTGGCTTAGAGTTGATGTTTGAGGAGGTCTGCCCTTTTGTTCCTGGAAAGCAGTCATCTTAATTGTTGATAGGACATCTGGAGGCCACGGACTCTTCAAGCGTTCGACTTCTTCCTTCCAAGTTCATCAGGTCTTAACCTTCTTTGTGTTCTTTTTGCCCGGTGTTCCTTGGGCAAGTGCAGGACCGGTCTAGCGATTTTTGAAGCTTAGGGCGAAGTCAAAAAATGTGCCCTCATTTTATATAAGAAAAATATTTGTTTTCACACGTATGACATCGATAAAATTATACTTAGAAAAACACTTCAAATTAGAAACACAGAAAAACTAATTTATTTTATATCGTGAGAAGGAAATAAAAAAATTCCGGGTTTACAAATGGATAGATATGAGTTTTGTTTTCCATCTGAACTTTTAAAGTGTTTTTGTATAAATCGTGAGGTGTTTTTTCTTATTTACTAATCTTGTAAATATGGGACTAAAAAAATAATGATGCTTTTGAGTCTTTAATCGATATTTATAAGTAATAAATAGGTACTAAGTTAAACATTTTGATGACAGATCATATGATTTGCAAATTTGGTCTAAAAATTTGGTCAACGCATTACTCTTCGTTGAAGATTAGACTTGAATTGGATCAAATGTTTAAAAATAACAACTCACATATCTACTAGCTACTAATTAAAAATAAATTAACAACCAAACAAAAATTCGTAAAAATTGAAATGAATAAACATGCACTTAGCATTTCGAACTTAGAACCTCTCGTTAATTTTAAACAACAAAAACCATTGATTCTAATTGAACTTCTTGATCATTTAGCCAAATTTCATATATTTATACTCTTATAAAAAGAAATTTGTAAAAAATTGAAAAGTAAATTAGCACACTTGGTGTTTTCAATCCACGACCTCCTCATTAATTTCAAACAAAATCATCAATTATAGTTAAATTTCTTTGTCATTGAACCAATTTTATAAATTTATACTCAAATGAAAACGTATATAAATATATTACCTTAATAATTTTGGTGCCCTCAATTATTTTAAGCCCTGGACGGTCGCCTTGCCAGCACTGGACCTAGGCCGGCCCTGGGCAAGTGTTCCTTTAGGCCACTCGGGGTCAGAATGGATCCTGTGTTAGCAAATACATAACAAAAATCTCATAGCTCTATATTTTAACAATAAAACCCTAAAATCCTCCTCTAGTTATTGATCATGTCGATTTTCATATGAATACTCAACAAGTTTCCCACAACAATTTTGAAAAAATCATGAAGTTTGTCACAGAACTATTAAAAAGATCTTCTTCACCCCCTACACCTTATCCATCTTGATCTCAGCATTTTAGTCGTGGGGATATACGTCTGGTTGCTGGTCAAACTGAAAAAACTCAGCCACAACACAATCTCACACTTCAGGCACATTTACTAAGTAATTAGAATGGGAGAATTGAATTCATGAGGAGTTAAATTGATGAGGAATCAAAATCGAATTCTTATAGAAGTTGTTTTGGGAAAATGTTTGAAATGAGAGTAGGAATAATGCTGACACCATACTAGCTGTTTACCAAACACCTACTTTAATAACTATACTGCCATGTTCTAAGTAAACTCTTTTTTGTGCTAGTTAATAAATTTTAATTCTCAAGACAACATATACGTAGACTTGTTTGAATGAGAACAATCAATTACAGATTTTTCCATCATGAATAGGTGGCTGCGGTGTTGGGTGGTTGCGGTGGTCAGGGAGATGTGGGAGTGGCACTGGGCTGGGGTGCTGCTGCTTCATGTCTGGGGGGAGTAAAGGGCAATCTAGGAGTTTAAGATTCAAGTGAGGGTATAATGGGTAAAAGGTTTCTGTTTCGGACTTCTCATCTCACATGCTCGAGAGTTGGATTGCCACCTATAATTAGGGAGGGATCTTCTTCGGATCTCTTCTATCAAATCATTCTCATCAAATAATTCGGATTTTTGAAATTTGATCCAACGGTTAAAGTTATACCCACTTTAAAAGTTATAATAACTTTAGTCGTTGGATCAAATTTCAAGGGTCCCAATTGTTTGATGAAGAGGATTAGGTGGAAAGGATCCGGAAATGACCTCTTTCCTATAACTAGGGAGTCCAATTCCTCCAAAAAAAAAGGAATTCAATTCCAAAATTCATATGTCCTACCACCTTTTTGATTCCCTATTATTTAGTAAACATAAGAATACTCTGTAATTGAAATTCAATTACTTTTTTTTATTACGATTATAGTAGTTACATAAACATGCCCTTAATATACTTGTTTATCCCCACCTTCTTAGGGCCAATTTGGGATTATTGTGCTCTTTTAAAAAATTGATTTTGTTGTGCTTTAAGAATAATCAGCTGTAAAGTAAAGTAGATGAACATTTGGTTAACTGAATTTTAAAAGTGCTGTAAGTTTGAAAAGCAGTGTAAAAGCGTTAGGTAAATTTTAATGCAAATAATTTTATATAATGACAAAATGGATATAGTAGTAAAAGTGGGGGCAATGATAACAGTGGCAGGGACAGTGGTGGTAGGGGTGCTGGTGGTGATGGTAGCAGTAATGTGGAGGTATGGTGGTGGTGCTAATAGTGGGATGTGGTGGTTCGAGTGCAGAGGTGATAATGGTGGTAGTGGTGGCTGTTGCGGTTGTGGTGGCAGTGGTGTCGGTTGCGATTATGGTGGCGGTGGTGGCGATTGTGGTAATAATGGTAGTGGTGGTTGCGGTTGTGGTCACAGTGGTGGAGGTTGTGGTGGCGGTGTGGCAATGATAGTGGTGACAATGGTGGTATTGGTGGTTGTGCTTGTGGTTATGGTGGTGGTGGTGGTGGTGGTGACAACATTAATGGTGGTGATAGGTGGTACCGGTTACTTTGTTCTCTAAGAGATGGAAATGTGTGGAAGACTATATATGTCATTTTCAAAAAGTTAATGAAGGCATTACATCAATTGAAAATATTCATTAAAAGCTCAACTCAGCTTTTTATTAAAGCAGCTTTTAAAAGCAACTTACATGCTGCTTTTAAAAGCTACTATCTGGAGGTCATTGCTTTTAAAATAAGCAGAATATTTTATTTTTATCAAACACTTTTTTTTTAGTATATCGATATTTTTACACTAAGGGGATAGAGAATTCGGCAAAGCCACACAGTTGGCAACCTAATTTGGTATCGAATTGGCCATCTACGAGATTCGAACCTAAGATCTCTCACTTCCGAGTGAAGATGAATACCATGACTTCTCACTTCACTCATCAAACACATTTAAAAATAAAAAATAAAAAAATTAAAAAGACCAAATGGGATTTAGTCCTCTGCTCCTCAGAGATGTTAACGGTGATGTACCTGTCACCTAATTTGCATTACACAACCCCCAATCCAAAACCGAAGACCGCTACAATGGAATCTCCATGAATGTACGTCTTCTTATTTGGACTTGGAATGGATATTTTTCTTAATTAGATCTTAGTTATTTAGGAAGAGGATCCTCTCTGGATCCACTTTGTAGTTATCATGGGGATCTCCACGTCCTAGCCATTCATCGTACATCGTACGGCTAGTTTTCGTCAGATATTATTTGTGTTTAATTTTAAATAAAAAAGTCAAATAATTTCTGACTGCACGATGTACGATAAATGACTGAGATGTGAGGATCCCTAGGATCGTCACAATTTGAATCCGGATAGGATCCAAATCCTTAATAATATATGTAATTGAGTTCATGAGGAAAGAGTAATCTTTTTAGTTATTTATTTATTTATTTTTGGCAACCTCCTTGGTTCTTTTGTTATGATGTTTAACATGTTATATTGGATTTTTAAATTCCATAATATCTACGAGTACGTATTTTTGTTTTATTCTACAATTCTTTGAACTCTTGCGTTTGGTGTGAAATAATTTGTTGAATAATGTAAGCAATCTCACGCCCAAAACTTGACAATAGGAAATATGATATATAATGAATGGTTTCAATGCTAATAACATTGAAATCTTTTGTGATAAAATGTCACAACTGTTGAGTTAGCAATGTGATTAACAAATGCATGTTTGCAACAATGTCAATGTTGATTAGAAGAAGGTGCAAATCCGTCCCTATTAAATCTTGACAAAATTTGCCCATGAAAAATGAACACTGAGAAAGTATAAAACATGTGTGTTGACCCCTTAAAAAACAATAAGGATCACGACATGAAAACTATTCTTTGGTCTCTAGAATCTCATGCGAGATTGCTCCTTAGATTCAAACACACAAACGGTACGAAAATTGTATGTTGGCCTCTTAAAAAGAATTGTGACATGAAATACATAAGAAACTCACTCTACCACTGTTCCTATAACCCCACACAGCTATACATATGATCCAAATTAAGATTCCGGTGCATGTATATGTTGGTTGTGAAAAGGCGAATGCTAAAGGCACAGCTGTGTATTGACATTTTAGGATCATTGTTTGGTACAATCATTCCAAAAATAACTTCAGCAGACTTTTACACAATCACGCCAAGATCTCTAAAAAGATTCTTGTTTAGTGTATTTTGTGCCTCTAGAATGAAGAGTCTATTTTTTTACTTTTTAAGCCCCCATGCGGGCGGCTATGTTGTCTAACATACGAGATATTTTTGTCTGTCAATAGTTGTATAAGATTATGTGTCTGTTTCTCTTATCGTTGATTGCTTATAATACGAGATGGAAAACTTTCTCACTCATTGATCAAGGGCATATCTTTTCCTTTCTAGGTGCCCAATGGCCTGGTGGAGTTGTGAGCTCTTTTTTTCTTTCAAATTTCGTCATCCCGAACAACAAATGGTTAATGGCATCAACAGATATTTAATTAGTCCAACTACAGTGACATATAACCATCACCATTAATGTCATATAATGATCAGGCAGGGTTGTGCATGTCTTTTTACGAAGTTTGTCAACCAAAACAGCAAGATGAGAAACTACTAGCACTACTATTTTACCAAGAACATAGAAAATGTATGCCTACGAATTTCTTTTGTACTAATAACGTTACTTTTCACATTGTTATGTGTACTCATTCTTTGAAGCAAAACGCATTATGCATTTCACACACACTCAGAGCGTTACTATGTAATAAACGCGTTACATGTTTCACTTATACTTAGAGCGTAATTGTATCACATGTTTCACTCACATGTGAAATGTAATGTAAGATGATCCGTCATGCACACACCTCAATATCACTTAAAACAATTTGTTTAAAAGTAGGCAGAGAAATACAATTAATCTAGAAGCTAGTTGATGTACTAGGAAAATCAGATAAAACCATAAGAGATGTTCAAATCTTGTTGTAAGCGAAGAAGATAGATCTCATAAATAAACTGCAGCTTAAGAAACAATATTCTTGATTACGAATTTATATTGACAATGGATTTTGAGACTCATTTTCCAGTCTAGAAACTAATATGATTCCTAAAGAAGTGAACCAGAAAAGGTGAAATTTCAAAGTATGGAAGTTGTGTGCCGTGTTGGATCACATGGTAATGGCAATATCTTTGTACTTCTGATTTGGGTTATTAAATTAGACGAAAAGCAAATTTGAGGTTATAAATGCTACAAGGCGATTTCTAAAATCTAAATCACTATGATCTGATTTATGAAGACGAAGATTCGAACTTAAGTGGAAGAAAACGAACATACTAACCTTATCAATGACCTAACTTGCATCTCCAATAATTAAGTATACAACAATTTTCTTTTACCATGCTGTCATCCATATTTCAAATTTATGCAAAAGATGCCCCGAAAGAAGGCAGAAGCGTCTGATTTATGCATATCAACAATTAAGGAAATAATCACCATCGTTAGATTTTTGAGATTTCCAACTGAATCCAAGTGACATTCTTGTGTATCCCCACATGGCCACTTTTATCCTTTCCCCCCTTTTTTTTGGTTTTTGGCATCCATTTTCTCCAGTTTTTGCTGCTGTTTTTTATAAATAGATTGGAATTGCAGCATGGAAAAAACCATCTCTCACTGCTCTCTTCTGCCTCACAATCATAGCAGAAATCTCACCATTCTTAACATCTCTTGCAGAAATCTCAGCTTTATCTTGAGGTACGTACTCAACCTTTGTGTCTTCAACAATATTTTTAGGGTTTTTTGGTTTAGCACTTGACTTCGAAAACAATGTAAACCGCAAGTGGCGGTGATAGTGGGTTCCTTTTTCGCCCACTGCATTTCGAGTTTAAACGCTCTCTCTCCTCTTAGTGTTGTAACCTCGCTTGTAATAAAAAAGGAATGCAAAATTTCAACCAATTTTTGCAATGATGGGACAGTAAAATGAAGTTTTCAAGGCTTCAAATTGTATCTCTCATATGATTAACCTCTGCTGTGCATATGCTGGGAATATTGGTCTTTTTTTGGTTCCTTTGCTAAGGAAATCTATATATACACAACTTTCTTTTTAGCTTCGTTTATTAAGTTATTAATTAATGAAGATTTTTTTAACACTAGGAAAACACAGATTTGAAAGAAGAAAAATGTTGAAGAGCAAAAACGCAACGACGAAGATAACGGCGCTAGTCGTAGACGATCGCATGGTCAACCAACTAATTCACCACAAACTGTTGGAAAATCTTGGCATAGAAAACCAGATTGTAGGGAACGGGAAAGAAGCCATTGATGTCCACTGCTCAGGAAAACATTTTGACCTTATTCTCATGGACATGGACATGCCTGTCATGGATGGTATTGAGGTAAATTTCTTCTTCTTTTTTCGTGTAATTAAAGACACAAAATCCTGGAAAGTTTATACTAAATTTACTTGTTAATGTTACTGGTTTTTTTGTTTGTTTTAACTTCTGAATTATAGGCAACAAGGACGCTGCGTGCGATGGGAATTCGAAGTACGATTGCAGGTGTTTCGTCGCATTCGTCTCTCAGTGAAGACGCACAAGAATTTATAGAGGCAGGCTTAGATGATTACCAAGAGAAACCATTAACTACTGCTAAGCTAGTTTCCATCCTCCAAAAGGTTAATCTCCACGTTTAAATTTCATGGATTAATTAGTATTAAGAAGGTAAAAAAAAATGTCATGTACTCAAATATAACCCTCTCCCCATCAAGTAGTTATTGAAATCAATGTTGTTTAAGTGTGATTAACAATTGAGAGCAGCTGATTAATCAATATATATGAGAAAGTTTTACTTTCCATTTCTTTCTTTCTTTGCTCCTTTGGTGTGTTGCTGTGCCACGATTTTTTTTTTTTTTTAATACATTGAAAGGAGTTTAAACCCTTTATTTTAATGAAAATTGATAATAGATTAGGCGAGTCGAATTACACATAAAACTTAGTCGTCGAAATCTAACGCTTTTTTCCTTACATTAAGAGAAATCTTAACTGTCAACATGTCATACTTTTATCCATTAAACTAATTGGGCCAAGTACTAACCCATAGCTCACCAGTTTTTTTATTACCAATATAATTACACGAGTAAATTGTAGTAATAATCTCTTAACTTTAATCGAGTTGGAGTAATGGTCCCTTAACTAAAAATCTATTACCATTGGTCTCTCAACTCATCAAAATGTGTAGCTATGATCATTTTCATCAATTTCGTCAAAATTGTGTCAAAATGAGTTATGTTAGAAGGACAATTGCTACAATTAGGATCCCTCAACTTATCAAAACGTGTAGCTATGGTCTTTTTTGTCAACTTCATCAGAATTTTGTCAAAACAAGTTATGTTGGAATGACCATAGCTACAATTGAGTTAAAGTTGAGGGACTATTACTCGAATTGAGTTAAAGTTGAGCGACAATTTCTTCAGTTGCATTAAAGTTGAGGGACCAATGGTTATGAATTTTTAGTTGAGGGACCATTGCTCCAATTGAGTTAAATTTAAGAGATCATTGCTACAATTTACTCTAATTGCACTGAAGTATTAATTTTGCAATTCTAACACCATTCTCATAGATAATACCAAGCACACTTAATTAGCAGTTGAAAAATGATAAATTAAGATATTTTTCTCCATACAAAAAAGTCTATGATTTAAAGGGTCGAAGTGTGATTTGTACCAAGTGAGGTTGATTTTGATGCAAAATAATATTTAGAAGAAACTAGCCTCTTTGCATGCACTAATGTGCGTGCAAGAAACATTTTTGCATTACGAACATTACGCGTTGTTAAAAGTGAATTGTGTTAGTTTTTTTTATTATTATTGTAATTGTCAAGATATACTTTAAATATATTGTGTATTCGTATGTATACTTCCTCTAGAAAGCTCGCTAATTCGCAATGTTAAAAGGAACGTGACATTTTTACCATTCATTCTTGCTGCACGCATGTATACTTTCAATGTATTGTGTGTAGTTATTGTATAATTATGCTTCATTTTTTGCTATAGCATAGGGCATAGGTTCAGTCATTGAACATTGTATATCATCAACATCATCACGTGCAGCAAAATGCAAAATGCATTTTTTTTTTTTTTTTTTAATCAGCGCCCCTATCTATCTAATCTGACAAAATAGAGAGAGAAAAAACTACATAAAAGAATGCAGAAAAGTCAAAAACTGCTTGACAAAAGGCAGTCATCTTTACTCATCAACTTATCACAAATTTGTGCAGTATTTGATTCTTCAAGTATTTTTCGTTTCTCCCCTATGTATAACTTTCTCCATCCCCATGTAGTTTGTACTTAATTTAATTCCTAATTACATTTGATATATATATAGTTTAGCAGTAATACAAATTGGAATTTATATACTTGTCATGCCTAGTTTCTCAACATATATACTTAGCCCTTTCTAATCCTAATCCTAACCACGATCGCGTTTTGAAGTCCTATAATTTAAAAGTAAGTTCAGTCCTAGTGCTTTAGTTCAAATACAAAGCAAGATGTAAAAAGCAAAAGCTCCACAAACTGATTAATCTCTAATATATCAAAACGTCCCAAAGCAATATAACAACCAATCATGTTCCCCTCTCTATCCAACTTTTTTACTATGAACAGAGATTGTCCTTAGGCCTCTCAATTTGAAAGCAAATCGGCATATTTTTGTGCACCTACAGACAAAAATCAACAGAAAAGAAGTTAAAAGGTGACTTGATGACTGAAATACTTTATGTCTCAAATCAAGGGCAAGGAAATTATCAAATGAAAACAGTTAACCTAAATCAGACATTATTCTTCGTTTATTATCAAAGCTTTGACTTGTAGGAGGGCAAATAAGTCAATTTAGTACTAAAAGCAATAACGCATACAATTATAATGAATCTGTTCCATAAAAATTCGGAATTTAGGCGTTTCTTCCTAACAACACACCCAAAATATGAGTTTTTAATAGATCCAATTTATTTCATACATAATTGTGGTAGGGTTATTGTGTTCCTCACTTTCTGTTTTTATTCTCCCATTAAATATGAAACCAAACCTAAAAGCTCACATTTGAACATTCAATCACTCAAATAGAATTATAAGTGAAGATTTTTCACAGAAAATTAAAATGATGTCGCATACTTGAATAATTCTCGCCATTTACCTGGAACGCTACAAAAGATAAAAAATACAGAGAAGTAAAAACTCAAGGCATAGTTTTACAGTAAAACTAAATAAACAAATAAAACAGAGAGAAAATAATACACACTCCCCTTGTATATCCATAAACTCTTCATTAGCCAAATTGTTTGAGAAATCAGACAAAAAAATAAGGCAAAAACAGATCAAATCTTAAGAGACAGAATGTACAAAACGTCAATTCGATAACTATAATGCTTTTATTTTGTTTTTTTTTTAATTTATTCTTTTTCAATACCCTTTTTTTGTTCGGTTATGTTTTTTTTTTTTTTTACCACTTGGTCCTAGTTTTTTGAACTTTTGAAGGTTTGATTGTGAAGAAAACAAAGGGGTTTTTTTGGCATTATGAAATGCTTCACCTATTGGGTCTTCTCTCTTTATATGTATAGATAAAAGAAGAATAAGAATAATGCTCACATCAAAACTCAATGAATAGTATGCGATGAACGAATTTCACGCAAGTTGAAAATTATTCTAGTATTCTTGCAATCAAGAAATAAAAAGACAGGTTAGGTTTTGTCACGTTGGTGTGGTGTGAACTCTGATGCTTAAGTAGGACTTATAGTAGATGAAATAAATATGAAAACTCTAAGTTTTTTGGTAGAGGAACAATTATATTTCCCTGGTTGATGGTTATTACGTAGTGGCAAACCTAAGTTTGAAGGCGATTTTAAGAGTCCACGTGACAATTCTTGATTGGTTGGTTTAAGCCCCCATTACCGCCCATTAAGCGAATTAAGGAAATGTGATAGGGGGCAACAAAAAGTTTCCTTTAAGGAAGCCTATTGTGGCTTATGACTAGGTCACCATAATAAGGGTTGTTATATGAGAAAATTAATAAAAATAACTTGAAAATTTTGAGTTTTTACGATAAGGATAAAATAAATAATAAAGTGAATAATACCAAGATTGACTTTTTAATATAATTTTTTCGTTAAAATTAATAGTACCGAAAATTTACCGTTAAAGTTCTCTTGTTATATACCATCAATATCTAGTTTTGTTGGGCTAAATCCTCCATCAGGCCTTGCTGGGTTTGAGAGGAGTGTTTGGACTTTTGCCAAGCCACTAGGTCAATAGTTGAGCTAAGAAACCCATTAATTAATAGTTTTCCAAAAAAAGAAACCCATTAATATATTGATGGATAATGCATATCCAACACGTGTTCTTGTAGAGGTGTTTTTCCTGTTAAATACCTCAGAAAACCATGTTTTGGTCACATTGAATGTCTACGCCAAACGTGACCTTGGATTCTGGCGAGTATTCTCATTAATCTAGACTCCTTTAATGTGGTGATTATCTTCAAGGGAATTAAGTGTCGTTTGCTAACCATTTGACACTTTTATGCTATTTTAAAAATTTGTTACCCCAACACATTTTTTAAATTTTATCTTTATTTATACTTTCGTCAAAAAACAAAACATTTTTTTTAATCTTGTGGGCCTAAATTTTCTTTTCAAACTCTTTTCCAAACAATACTTGTGAATAAAATATATTTCGGAACCCAATTTACAATTTGTTAATTAGTTGCTAACACCCTTGGAGATGCGTTTTTTCCCAATAGGATCCTCTCCAGATCTTTTGGGTGAGGATCCTAGAGATTTGTGATTCGTATTCGTTTATCGTACATTGTGCGGTCAGTTTTTTCAATTACTATTTGTGTTTAATTTTAAATAAAAATGTTTAAAATAATTTTATGATAAACGGACAGAATTGAGGGAATTCGGATTTAAATTTGAATTTGATATGCCACGTAAATGTTCCGAAATATATGCCACGTGGGATAAACAGTGAGATAACAAATTTAAATACGGATTCTCTTTTTTCTACGTGGCATATCAAATTTAAATTTGTTATCCCACTGTTTCCTCCCTCGAAGATAATGTTGAACGTATTTAATATAAATACATGATGTGAACGAATTTATGAATTTCTTTTGACTGAATTGAAAAGAAAAAGAAAACTCAAGTAAACAGGCCTGCGTATAAAGCCCACCAGGGTCGTGGCATTCGGCAATATTTCCTAGTCACTGGACCTTGCCGTCCCCGACCCGTCCCCAAAACCCTAAACCCTAACATAAACCAAATGCTTCTAGACCCTTCTCTGCTGCTCAATTTATACTCTCCTGCTCTCCCCCTCTCTCTCACTCTCACCTCGCTTTTTCCTGATTGCTCATCTTCTGTCTCAATCTACTTTCTCTCTCTAAGGTGCTCTGCAACTTCGTCAATCATGTATCGCTTCGCCACTAACCTTGCCTCCAAAGCCAGGTTTGTAATGCCATCTTGCCTCTGTCAAAATTCGAACTTGTCCCCAAAAGTCACCGTCTTTGATTGTTTTCTGATCTGGGTCGCTCTCATTTTTCCGACTTTTCATTGCTTTGTGGTTGCAGGGTGGCTAGGAACAGTTCTCAACAGGTACTTGGTTCTTCCTTATCAATTTGAAGCTGTGATTTGTTATTGCTTAAGTGGGTTTTGATGTGGGGGTTTTTGTTGTTTACTGTTCAGATTGGTAGTAAATTGATTTCGAGAAGGAACTATGCGGCGAAAGAAATCAGATTCGGTGTTGAAGCCCGGGCCGGGATGCTTAGGGGTGTGGAAGAGCTCGCTGATGCTGTTAAAGTCACAATGGGGCCAAAAGT